CTATAGAATGCAGAGCTCTGTATAATCAGTATCCAGACTGATTACAGTCCAGGTATCTCTAAATTGAATAGCGACATTTTAGAGGGCGCTACACATGTGTTTGTGAATACACAGAACATCTTATATTTATTCTTTATTGGTTTTGCAAAGCTTGCTTTTATATATGTTTTAACAAATATAGTCATAGCGCAATACAGCAAGTATTAGTATTTATGGGAAAGTGAACACACACTTTTCTGGTATTGCAGCTTGCCATCACCTAGTAGTTGTTGCACATATCCAGGCACGGTCAAAATTGTCTATATAAATTCTTCCAGGTAGTGTCAGCGTTTGCCTGGACCCCCCCACATTCCTATTCGCCTGTCACTATAATGGGCTTCCTCACTGACCAATAGGAATTTGCAGGAGGGAAGAATGGATGGTCAAGCTTCATCACATTCAGCATTGGTGAAGCCCAATATTTAGGTGAAGCAGAGGGTACTGAAATCTTCTACAGGTATACACACTGACAGGCCCCTTTATGTGCCTGCATTTCATACCTTCTGCAGCATTTTTTTCTGTTAAAGTGACAGTGTCCGTAACGAAATGCACTAAAAGTAGCCCCCAAAGTGAAATGTAAGCAATAGAAAACATCCTAAGATTAAACTGCAATTTACGGGACTATCCCATTTATTTTTAGTACCGTAGTAAAACAGTACATTTTGGATCTGTGCACCCTTCACTACAATGCATGCAAAATGTACTTCAAAAATGCATCTGGCACAGCCTGTGTTTTACATATGGAAATGTCAGTGAACTGTACGTCTTGTATTGTAGGTGAATGCCTGGATATTTTCGTTTTAGTTTTAAATGCAGTGCAATAACTTTTGGTAATGTGTATACCAACTATTTCCGTTTAACAGTCTGAATCATGAAGGAGTTAAAAAAGGGAATAGCTAATGAACATACCTGACATTGTCCTGTTCTCTTCCAGTCCAAAAACAGCCAGAGGCTACAGCAGAGAAAATTTAAACTGGGCAGCAATTTATATGCTAATACACATTCCAGTGAATTTGCCTGGACAGAACTTTCCAAGTGACTTCCAGCTAATTTTTCTTTCAAAAGAAATGTTTAAACTTCCCAAATGTTTGAAAGAAAACAGAAGTGCTGCTACAGTGGGACAGAATTCAGACAAGTGTGATCACTTGATCAATTTTCTTTTTATTATTTGTTAATTCAGCAGTCTCAATGTCCTTATTTCTTGTTGGCCAGCACTGTGATAAGTGCACTTGATTCTGGTACTTCTTGGGTATTCCACTGATGATCTTTCAAGAGGTCCAACAAAGACACAAGTTAAAATGATACTAAAATCATGAGTTCAATCTTAAAAATACATTCATGTACCCTAACTATTAACAAAAATGTATTTTATGTGTGTATCACTCAGCTGTAGATCCACAAATCATCTCTGAATTCATGCTGACACTGTCCTTCCTTCTGGAGCGTGACTACTTTTGTTCCCCATGGTACCTGTGTGTGCTGTAAAGTAGCCACCACTTCAAGCTTGCTCCTGTGATGGACTACAATCTCATGTTTACTTTACTAAGTTATATTGAGATTGTAATCCATAGTCTAAAAAGCTAGTAATGTAGAAGATTTTACACTGTGGTATATCTGTCTACCACTCTGTGTGTGATTACACATTGATCTCTTATTAACAATGGTCTGCTGAAATGGTTTTCCAATTATACTGGAAAATCAGAATATCTGCCAAACTAAGGGAGTTATTCACGAATGTGCCGAAGGATCCAGCCGTAGCTTTGGCTGATCCTTGCGCTCACTTTGGTCGCTGGAGTCCTTCGGTTCTGTTGAACCGAAGGGCTGCTGTACGGACTATTCACTATAGCCTGTACAGCAGCCGAAGGCAGCCAAGCCGAAGACATATGCTTTGGCTCAACTGAGCCGAATTGACAGCCGAAGCATGGAGAAAGGTCGGCCGAAGCCGACCGATCTCCATGCAAATACCTCCTCATGTATCACTTCCCCCACCCTTTAGATTGTAAGCCCTCACGGGCAGGGCCCACCTTACCATCTTGTCTTGAATTGTATTGTAATTGCAATGTCTTCCTTATATTGTAAAGCGCTGCGTAAACTGTTGGCGCTATATAAATTCTGTATAATAATAAAAAATGACAGCTGGGTGGAGCCAGCTGTTATCTCACGGCTCGCTATGCCCAGTTGTAATGACAGATCAGTGTTCCCAAATGACCTGGGGATGCTGATCTGTCATTAAACAATAACAACTGGGTGGAGCCGGCGTTACGTCATAGCCCGCTCCGCCCAGTTGTTATTCATGGGCTGGGACCTGCTAGAAGACTCTGGCAGGTGTCCGCCAAAAAGAATCAGTTGCGTGTGTCGTTTTTTTAAAAAAATAATTTTTTTCTTTTTTTTATTTTCTTTAAAATATTTTTCTTTACTTCGGCTCAGTTATTCACTCGGCTGCCTTCAGCAGCTAAGTAAATAACCCCCTAAAGTGTTTTACAGGTTTTACAGGTCCTTTGTTGGATTAGATAAAAATTGTCCTGTCTATGACCAACTTTACAGTTGCTATTCCTTTACTGTGATGCTTATTGTAGATATGAGTAAGCATGAATAGTTCATACCCAACAAATGGGTCTCTCAAATCCCATCAAATTAATTGAATTGACTTTTCACCTAATTTTGCCTCTAAACAACCAAATGTTGACAGAAATACAATACTTGTATGTTCCCCTGCTTACTCTTTTTACAGTGTGTGTGTGTCTATACTGTTTGTCTATACTGTTTATCTATCTGTCTGTCTGTCTGTCCGTCCGTCCGTCCGTCCGTCTATCTATTATCTATCTATACACACGCACACACATTTTCAGCCATACATTGACATCTTCATGACTTATCAGTATTTTATTTCATGTATAGTATACATTTATTTTATTTTATATATATTTTAATATGCCTTTTTGTGTGATATTTTGCATTTTTTTTTTTTTTAAAAAGGCCTGTCACTGCCGCACAGCTTGCAGCCAAAAGGTGTGACTCCAGGCAACGCACTTAATATTTTCGAATTAAATCAGTAGCATTTGATGTTGAATTATTTTTGATCATGCCATAGGAATTTTTATTTTGAAGTCATAACCTTTTTCTTCCATTGATGTTAAACTCAGAGTAGCCTTTGGCTGATTCTAGTTTCCCTTTGAGAGACAAAGACACCATGGCCAAGTTTGGGTTCATCTTTATTTTTGTCACTTGCGGCACATACGGAGATGACTGAAATCCTATCTTCATTGGAGCAGCTGACTAGCTGCACTCTGCCTGGATGCATGCTCCTTAAAACAGCTGGAGAGAGCAGACTCTTAGTGGAGACACAGCCCACAGCTTTTATTCCAGTTAGTGAACTAAGAGCCTTTCAATCAATTGAACCAGGCAAGGCAAGTTCTTGGAGAAAAGCTGGTTGCATGAACAGCGGGAGAAGAAAGAACAGTATAGAAAACATAAGATGGGACACAAACTTAAATCTCCAGCCTGCTGCCTCGTGTGCCATTCTGACAGCTCTGCTCACCTGCAGCTATTGAACGGCACAGTTGAAAAAATGGATGCATGAAGGATTATAATTCACCATTTTGGAGGAACAAAAATAATAAGACGGAAAAAGTTTTGGCACAAGTTGCTGTAGGATGACTTTTTTTTTATCTCATTTTTTTCATCAGTCTATAACTTTTACATTTTACTCTAAGATTTTTACTCTAAGCTACTTTTTTTCTCATTTGATTCATCAATCTATAATTTTTACATTTACTCTAAGAAACTTTTTTTTTTTTTCTCGTTTGATTCATCAGCCTATAACTTTTACATTTCACTCTGAACAACTTTTGTTTGCTCATTTAATTAATCAGTTTATAAGTATTACATTTTATACTAAGCAACATTTTGTTCTCATTTTCATTCAATTCAGCAATCAATAACTTTTACAATTTACTCTTTTACTTTTTGTTTATCTTTTTGTTTTATTTCATTTGACTTATCAGTCTGTAACTATTACATTTTACTCTAAGCAACTTTTTTTTTTAACTTTATTTGATTCATCAGTCTATAACTTTTCTCATTTGATTGAACAATCTATAACTATTACATTTTATTCAAAGCATCTTTTTGTTTTTATTTAATTTGACTTATCAGTCTGTAACTATTACATTTTAATCTAAGCAACTTTTTTTTTAAACTTTATTTGATTCATCAGTCTATAACTTTTCAATTTTACTCTAAGCAACTTTTTTCTCATTTGATCCATCAGCCTTTAACTATTACATTTTACTCAAAGCAGTGTGGAAGCATTGAACAAATCACTTTTTCCTGCTGGAAACTTTTCCTTTTTTTTTTCCTTTGGTAGAAATGTCAGTTCTACATTTGATTAATGCCCAGTACTTCCTTGAGTTAAGCCACAGCTATTGGACTTGCTTAGAAGATTAGAAGAAACAAAAAACTATTTGCACCATCTGTCTCTAATTCTCTTTTTGTGTTGACATTGGGAAGTACATCCAGAAAATGCCTTGGTTTAGCTTTGTAGCGTAGTGCTGTAACTTTCAGATGCTGCATACTGGCAGTCTCGCATACCTTCAGTGTGATTCCAATGTAAAACTTGGCAAACCACGTGCTCTGGAATTTGGAGACTTGCATTATTTCGAGTATAAACAAAAAGCCTACACTGCGGACACAGCTTTCGGTGCCTTCTGAGGGATTGTGATTGTCTCTGTCCTTCCTATAGAACTTCTTTCTGTTTGAGTAAGTAACCTAGCCCACAGTCTCCTCTCTCCTCCTCCTCCTTTACCAGCTTCTCCCTTTCCTCATCTGAGGATTGGTCTCTCTTTGTCAGCCCCGCTATACTCTGCTGACTTTTGCTGGGAAGACCTGCATTTTTCCTGCATGAATATGAAATGGGCTGGATGGGATTAGGGGGAAGTGACAGCTCCGCCTCCCCCATCAGATTCAGGACTAGATTAGTGGTGGAGATGGAACAAAACAGACAGTACTGGCAGCATGACAATAACCAGCTTTGCTGTAGCTCTAATTTTAGGGAGCATCCCTATAGTGGGATGCTTTGATAAGTCTGCCGGCTCATCCCTTTATCAACTTCTCCATAATCATCAGACAATCCGCAAGTCTCATCAACCTGCCCAGCAGCATCCTCCACCTCAGCACCCCCTGCCTGCCCACCAGCATCATCACACAGGCTGCCCAAAGTACACAGGTAGAGAGGGCTCCATCGGTGACTTTATCAATGTGACCGAGTTTGGAGCGGATTGCCTAAACTGGGTGGAAATTCCCACTTACTTGGAAAGAACTCCAGGTAAAGGATTGGGGGACCACAACTTCTGCAGGAACCCGGATGGGAGGAGTAAACCTTGGTGCTTCTTCAGGAACAATCATGGCAGAGTGGACTGGGCATACTGTGACTGCAAACAAGGTAACTGCTTTCTTTATAAATCTATTTGGAGCGGGCTGTCTTTATATTAAGATGAAAATAGGCAGATTGTGTTTCTATTTGAAACATCTGATATTTATTTTAATTTACACATTAAAAAGATATTGTTCAATGATACCTGAAGTCAATTCAAGAATATCAAGAACTGACTATAAGTTGGACACATTAGAGAAAAAGTTTGCACTCTCCAATTTGTATGATGAACAGTTTAAAAGTATCTTATTTCCTGAAGTGTAAAGTTGTAAGCTTTCACAGAACATGAACTGTAAACAGTAAAAGTCTTACTGTGATCCTGATACTACAAAAAAAAGAAATTAAGCATAAAAGTTTAGCATGCTGCAGTTGCAGAGTGACTGGTGTGACGTATGTAGAGAGGTCAGTAGGAAACATTATGATGCATTATTCACATATCATCTGTATCCACCAATCAGAAACCAGAAGTTGTTTTTCAAGGGCATAATCATCATGAAAATAACTGGTTGGTTGCCATAGACAACATCACTAATTTTCTTTATAATTAGGACCCAAAGTATTAAAAAAAGGGGCTCATACTATGGAGATTGAACACAGGCTACTGCAATGTTCTGCTACCCATACCGAATTCCAGTTCCTGTACATTTACACGTGTATCCCATATTGACCAACTATAAAGGTGACTCTATAATGAATCCAAATAACTTTGTGACATGGCCATTCTCTAACTCTCAGGCCACAAAATACTTCCAGGACAATGACATTGCTTGCAGTGAAGCTGAATAGGTGTAATTTCACTAACATGGAACTAGCAAGCATCCAAGGACGTACATAGATACAACTTCCACCTGATGCTTCTCACACAGGTATTTTGTTCATGTTGTTTCTATTTAGAAAATAAATTGGCTCAGATTTGTGTCTGTATTAGCCCTTTCCACACCTGTGCGATGTGGCTATAAACATGCTGTGTAGCGCTTATTTAGTGTGTTGCAGTAAGGGATACCATTCATTTGAATAAGCTGCTACTACATATAAACCACACTTTAGAAGGGCATGACCTGGGTACGGTGGGGTGCCTTTAAGAAATGAAGGCACAGCAGAACATTTAACAGTGTGATATGCAAGCTCATGTCAATGCGTTTGAGAACGCATGCGTTCCTGCATCGCATAGATCTGAACAAGGGCTTAGATCTAAACTAAGGTCAACTGTGTTAGGTGGGGGGATTTATCTGCCTTCCACTCAGTAGCAGTTACATTACCTTCTGAATTAGGGTTTTATCGGGTATTACCTGCACTACCGTCTCAGATCTATTCATACTAACATGCCAGTATGATTAGTGTGTACAACTGTAATATATGTAGGTGATCTGTAAGGAAAAAGGGTTTAGAAAAGAAGAAGCATGTAGTGAAATGATGACGGGTGTAAAGCTTCTCTTATACTGGATATAAATCTAATAGACTTTTCCAGTAGGAAGGAGTAATCAGGATGTGTAAAGTGCAGCTTCTCATAGCAACCAATCAGATGTCACATTGCTGCAGGAGATAATTAGCAGTTGGCTGCAATACGTTATGTCACTGTGCACATCCTGCTTGCCCTTGTCTAAAACTCACTACACACATTGCAATCTGATTGTACAACCTCCTTTAGATCTACCAACAACTATGTAGTGCAAGAGCCTGCCTGATCAGATACAGATGGATTGGATAGATTAGGTAGGTCCACATATTATAAAGTTTTTGTTTTTATACGACTGAACGCAGCTCTTTTCCAGCCAATATGTTAATAAAACAATGGCCCAAACCTGTTTTCAGAGAGGAGTTTACTGGCGTAATTTACGCACATTCGTGAGTGTTTATTCTAGCCAATAGAATGAGTTTACGCATATACACCTGCAAACACCATGATGCACATTTTTAATGCTGTTTATTTCTGCTAGATTCAGGCACAAAGATCCAGTGTAGATGGGAGGATTGTAATACAGATTGTACAAACATTGTATGGTCAGATTCTAATGTGTATGTATGGTGACCCTAATAGTGTGTGTGTAGATAGACAATGCTGACTTCATCGCACCATTATATTATGGATGATACCAAGTGCTAAATATGTCATCATTGATAAAAAGGTCTAGTCATTCTGTCTAGTCTGACTTGTAATAACTAATTTTACACTCACACACGATATCTAATATAATGTTTGCTTGACTAAAAAGTACTTCTTTTGGGCTTGGTTAATAAACTAGTGCAGAGGACCTGCAAATCATTGCATCCCATAACATCCTGCTCAATTCACAGAGGTCAAACAGAAGGATGAGAAACTTTGTTTTGAGCCATGTGATTGTAATTTTCAGATGTTATTGGACTCCGCAGTAAATAACTGTCACTTTTTTGAAAATAAGGATCCTTATCCTTGTGTGTTATCTTTGTGAAGTGAGCCTTCTGCCTCCTTACTGATGTGACTACAGTAGTCTGAAGTCAGAAGACAGAAGTAACTGCACTTTGTACATTTACACCACCTTTAGCACCACCTTAAAAAATATGTCCGTGTATGTTGGATGACTCATGTTTGATGTCTGAATAGCTGAGCATACAGTGCCCAGACAGCCACTCAGCCTTTATTTTGAATAGAATCCCTTACTACTGTAAATCTGACCCAGTTTCCAGCAGTTGTATGGCACGTCATTATACTGGGACAGTTTTCTCACAGTCATTTTACATTTCACTTGTTCAAAAACAGTTATCCAACAAACATATTTCAATACAATATAGCATACACTTTTTATTGCGTTCTTGAAATGTGGATTAGGTCATCTGTTCAAAGTTGTCATGTATGACTTTTTTATTACCTCTGCAAAGCTGATCCTTTTACTTGATTATTTTCCATGGTCTCCTTTTTTCACACCTTTTGTTCTTTCAGCAGATATACAACGTCCACAGTCCTTGTCATGATCTATTTAATCTTTTTCATCATTACTGATCTAAAAATAAACTTTGAAGATACATTAACCGGTGCAGGTTTGATTGTAATCACCTCAGTGCTTGTCATGACGGGGAAACCTTTGCATAATGACTTACTTTTATTCAGCCCATCATCACATTATCCTAATACCTTGCTTTTGTGTCTGCAATCTTTTCTCCCAGTTTTTTTTTTTTTTTTTAATAGTCTTTGAACATACTGTGTTCAGGATTAAAACGCACTGAAAACTTGTGTAATACATACACTTTTCAGTTTATTTTTTGAGCTGACCTATGACCTCAACTGGTTATACCTAAAGCTATGTCAAAATTCTCTTGTCAGACTGTATTGCTGGTGAATGCCAAGCACACTCATTCACCACAATGCTCAGTCTGAAAGAGTATATGTAGGTAGATAAGCATATGCATTTTTTTGCACTGCACTGGGCTAATGTTTACATTTCCTTAAAGGACAAGTTTAGAAATTATTTAGGAAATCCACCATCTCTCATCCCTAAATACACTAAGCTGCACCATCACACCCCATGCAGGTATTTACCTACCTCCTCCGTTCGCAGTATTGCCTCCTGTATTGTCTACATTTTGACCGGTAAAAATTTGGGATGATACCTGGGTTCAGTTTGAGGGCAGGACATGGAACTTCTCCTAATTTCTGAATGTTAATCTGAACCCCATTAATCAATAGCACTGCCGGAGCAACATGTACTAATGCAAATGTTTTTTTTTTTAAGTACAGTTTGGTAATAAAGTTTTATGGGCAGCATTAAGCCCTTAACTTGCTGGTGAAGTGGCACATCTGTATGGTGTATACAATGTACTACAGGAAAAAATTACATTTCCAAAATAAAAAAAGTAACTGTTTATTGCCTATAAATTACATTTCCCAAATTCATATATACCAAACATTTATGAATGGACCCAGATTCTATTAATAAAAAATTTAGAAAAGCAAAATAAAATGAAAAGTTATGGAGCATAATCGCACATCCCTCTCGTCATTTTGAATTATTTTGATGCAATTTTGACCTGAAGCTGTATCTTGGAAACTGGAGCCAATTAATACTCAGGACTTCCTTTTCCTTTATTAGTGATCCGATTCTGGTAAAATTTAGCTACTTTCATTTCCGAGGCTTTCTCCTTGTAGATTCTGTCAGTGCTTTGTTTTCTAGACGTCTGTGGTTATGTGGTTCATATTTGTTAACACATCGCTAGTCTTCGCGTGATGTTGCATATGAAAACATACACGCTTTTTTGGTATTAGAATTGTCAGTGGCTCACCTTTTCCGTCAATGCCTTTGAGTTTGCAGATTATGTTTCAGCCTTATCTCTAAGGTACAATAGTGTTCTTCTTGGAAAACCCATCATAGTTTTTCCCTCAAGATCAATTATCCAAGAGGAGTCTACAGACTAGCCAAAAAAAATACAATTATTTCCTCCTTAATCAGTCGTATCCAACAGAAATGATCTCATACTATATCTATCAATACTTTTAGTTTTAAAGAGCCCCTGTCTCCGACTCAAAAAAATTGCAGGTAAAAAATACCCAAAAAATCAGGTTTATTAAATGCTTACTTGGAGTGTGTTTCATTTCCCTAAATTATTTTTTATTCACTTGCAGTATGCCGTAGAACTTTTTAGAGTTGAACGCATAAATAATCTTATGGGAAGATTGTTGTTAAAATGAATGGTGTGGCGACGGGCTCTCTTTAAACCTACTGTGTTTCCGTAAGATCTGGCAGCCTAACCTCTGTGCTCCTAGGTCTTCACATACAGTAGATGGCCAAATTTGAAGGATCTACATAATTAGTACTTTTTCTCCTGCCTTTTGTGTATCAGATCAAGATCAGATCTTGTTTGTGCTTGGTGTCTAATATTTCTGTATGTGTTGTCCAATAGGCACCAGAATTAGACTCTTAGAAATCAGCACTCCAATACAGAGCGGGTGTGACACACCTCCTTCCCTTCTCTGCGATACATGTCTGTGTTAGAACACTTGTGATGAGGGGTGTGGCTGTTACTCAGCTCTGCCAGCA